TGTTGAAATACATGTGGCTGTAATAACTGGAGAAAAGGAACAAAGACAAAGTACACATTGGGTGCCCAGGGTTTACTTCTGGGCCTGCTTCTAGTCTCTCTCTACATGCTGTACCTAAGCAACCAGTCCCATGGGTCTAAGCGATGACTCCTAAACCTACATTTCCAGCTCTGGCCTGGCCTGGAAATCCAGTCTATACATCCACCTGCCTGCTTATCAACCCACTGAATGCCGCACAAGGATCTCAAATCAACATGTCCAAAACAAAGCTACTGATTTCTACATATCAGCACCACCATCAGCAGTCCCCAACCGTTTTGGCACCAGGGAGCAGGAAGATAATTTTTCCACTAACCGGCGGGTGGGGGTTGGGGGGATGATTTCTGGGATGATTTGAACACATTAAGTTTATTGTGCACTTTTTTTTTTTTTTTTTTTGAGACAGAGTCTACCTGTCACCCAGGTAGGAGACAAGAGCAAAAACTCCATCTCAAATAAGGAAAAAATAAGAAGACAAAATGACGAGGCAGATAGTGCACTACTTAGAGGGACAATCAGTCTAAGAAGTATTCTCTCGAGTATATGATGGACATTGCCCTCTCCTTGCTCTGACATGTACGCGTCGGGTATAGCGCAGTTACAAAAAGAAATCTAATAAACAAAAGAAGCTACCAAGACTATTTTTAAACGATGAGAGTTTATGGACTACAGGCACCCGCCACCTTGCCCGCCTAGTTTTGTATTTTTAGTAGAGACGGGGTTTCACCGTGTTAGCCAGGATGGTCTCGATCTCCTGACCTCGTGATCCACCCGTCTCGGCCTCCCCAATAGGCTGGGATTACAGGGCTAGCCAACCAGCGCCGGCCTTTTCTTTTTTTTTGGCTGGACGGAAGTCTCGCTCTTGTCGCCAGGCTGGAGTGCACGTTGGCGCTATCTTGGCTCACTGCAACCTCCGCCTCCCAGGTTCAAGCGATTCTCCTGCCTCAGCCTCCCAAGTAGCTGGGATTACAGGCACGTGCCACCATGCCGAGATAAGTTTTGTATTTTTAGTAGAGATGAGGTTTCACCATGTTGGCCAGGATGGTCTCGATCTCATGACCTCGTGATCTACCTGCCTCGACTCCCAAAGTGCTGGGATTACAGGCGTGAGCCACCGTGCCCAGCCTGTGCACTTTATTTCTATTATTATTATATTGTAATGTATAACAAAATAATTATGCAACTCACCATCATGTAGAATTAGTGGGAGCCCTGAGCTTGTTTTCCCGCAACCAGATGGTCCCATCTGGGGGTGATGGGAGACAGTGACAGGTCATCAAGCATTAGATTCTCATAAGGAGTGCATGACCTAGATCCCTGGCATGGCAGTTCACAATAGGGTTTGTGCTCCTATGAGAATCTAATGCTGTTGCTGATCTGACAGGAGGCAGAGCTCAGGCAGTAATGGGAGCAATGGGTAGTGTGGCTGTAAATACAGATGAAGCTTTGCTCATTCGCCCACCACTTACTTCCTGCTGCGTGGCCTGGTTCCTAACAGGCCCCAGACAGGTACTGGTCCATGGCCCAGGGGTTGGGGACCTCTGCCCTAACCTACTCCTCCTTCAGTCTCCCCTTTTCCTTTCCTTTCCTTTTTCTTTCTTTTTTTTTTGGGGGGGGGTGCGGGTGCAGAGTCTCATTCTGTCACCCAGGCTGGAGTGCAATGGCGCAATCTCAGCTTACTGCAACCTCCACCTCCCAGGTTCAAGCAATTCTCCTGACTCAGCCTCCCAAGTAGCTGGGATTACAGGTGCCCGCCACCACGCCTGGCTAGTTTTTGTATTTTTAGTAGATACAGGGTTTCACTGTGTTGGCCAGGCTTTTCTCGAACTCCTGACCTCATGATCTGCTTGCCTCAGCCTCCCAAAATGCTGGGATTACAGGCGTGAGCCACTGCACCAGGCCCATTTTAATTTAATTTAAACTTAAGTAGCCACATATGATTAGTGGCTGCCGTATTGAAGAGAGTAGCTCTAGATTTTTGCTTTGGGCAACTAGGTGGCTCATGGTGCCATTAATTGAAAAAGTGGGCTGGGTGTGGTGGCTCACGCCTGTAATCCCAGCAATTTGGGAGGTCAAAGCAGGCAGACCACCTGAGGTCAGGAGTTTGAGACCAGCCTGGCCAACATGCTAAAAATACAAAAAATTAGCTGGGCGTGGTCGCATGCATCTGTAGTCCCAGATACTCGGGAGGCTGAGGTGGGAGGATCACTCGAGCACCAGGAAGTGGAGGTTGCAGTGAGCTAAGATCGTGCCACTGTACTCCAGCCTGGGTGATAGAGTAAGACCCTGTCTCAAAAAGAAAAAAAAAAAGAGAGAGAGAGAGAGCAGACTGCCAGCCACCAGTCTGGACAACATAGTGAGACCCCTTCTCTACAAAAAAATAAAAAATTAGCCAGGCATGATGGTGTGTGCCTGTAGTCTGAGCTACTCTGGAGACTTAGGTGGGAGGATTACTTGAGCTGGGGAGGTTGAGGCTACAGTGAGCTATGACTGTGCTACTGCCCTCCAACCTGGGCAGCAAAGCAAGACCTTGTCTCAAAAAAAAAAAAAAAAGGCCGGGCGCGGTGGCTCAAGCCTGTAATCCCAGCACTTTGGGAGGCCGAGACGGGCGGATCACGAGGTCAGGAGATCGAGACCATCCTGGCCGACACGGTGAAACCCCATCTCTACTAAAAAAATACAGAAAACTAGCCGGGCGAGGTGGCAGGCGCCTGTAGTCCCAGCTACTCGGGAGGCTGAGGCAGGAGAATGGCGTGAACCCGGGAGGCGGAGCTTGCAGTGAGCTGAGATCTGGCCACTGCACTCCAGCCTGGGCGGCAGAGCGAGACTCCGTCTCAAAAAAAAAAAAAAAAAAAAAAGAGGCTGGGCACGGTGACTCACATCTGTAATCCTAGCACTTTGGGAGGCCAAGGCGGGTGGATCACTTGAGGTCAGGACTTCAAGACCAGCCTGGCCAACATGGTGAAACCTCATCTCTACTAAAAATACAAAAATTAGCTGGACATGGTGGCACACGCCTGTAATCCCAACTACTTGAGAGGCTGAGGCAGGAGAATCGCTTGAACCTGGGAGGTGGAGGCTGAGGTGAGTGGATCACTTGAGCCCAGGAGGTCCAGACCAGCCTGGGCAATATAGTGAGACCCAGTCTCTACAAAAAATTTTGAAAAATTCGCCAGGCATGGTGGCACACAGCTGTAGTCCCAGCTACTTGGGAGGCTGAGGTGGGAGGTTGAGGCTGCAGTGAGCCATGATTGTGTCACTGCACTCTATCCTGGGCGATAAAGCGAGACCCTGTCTCAAAAAAAAAAAGTCATTGTTTTAAAAATGGTGACTGTCAGGCCTCTGAGCCCAAGTCAAGCCATCGCATCCCCTGTGACTTGCACGTATACGCCCAGATGACCTGAAGTAACCGAAGAATCACAAAGAAGTGAAAATGTCCTGCCCTGCCTTAACCGATGACATTCCACCACAAAAGAAGTGAAAATGACCGGTCCTTGCCTTAAGTGATGACATTACCTTGTGAAAGTCCTTTTTCTAGCTCATCCTGGCTCAAAAAGCTCCCCCATTGAGCACCTTGTGACCCCTACTCCTGCCCGCCAGAGAACAACCCCCCTTTGACTGTAATTTTCCTTTACCTACCCAAATCCTATAAAACGGCCCCACCCTCATCTCCCTTCGCTGACTCTCTTTTCGGACTCAGCCTGCCTGCACCCAGGTGATTAAAAGCTTTATTGCTCACACAAAGCCTGTTTGGTGGTCTCTTCACACGGACGGACGGACGTGCATGACAGTGACCAACCCAATCTAAAGTACCCAACAAGTCACCAGGCATTGTGGCTCATGCCTGTAATCCCAGCACTTTGGGAGGCCAAGGTGGGAGGCTCACTTGAGGCCAGGAGTTTGAGACCACCCTGGCCAACATGGTGAAACCCTGTCTCTACTAAAAATACAAAAACTGGCTGCGCGCGGTGGCTCATGCCTGTAATCCCAGCACTTTGGGAGACTGAGACGGGCAGATCACGAGGTCAGGAGATCGAGACCATCCTGGCTAACACGGTGAAACTCCGTCTCTACTAAAAATACAAAAAAATTAGCCAGGTGTGGTGGCGGGTGCCTGTAGTCCCAGCTACTTGGGAGGCTGAGGCAGGAGAATGGCGTGAACCCTGGAGGCAAAGCTTGCAGTGAGCCGAGATCGCGCCACTGCACTCCAGCCTGGGCGACAGGGTGAGACTTCGCCTCAAAAAAGAAAAAATAACAATAATAATAATACAAAAAGTATCCGGGGGTGGTGGCAGCTGCCTGTAATCTCAGCTACTCGGGAGACTGAGGCATGAGAATTGCTTAAACCCAGGAGGCAGAGGTTGCAGTGAGCCGAGATCGTGCCACTGAACTCCAGCCTGGGCAATAGAGTGAGACTCCATCTCAGAAAGATAAAGTTAAATTTAAAAATTTAAAAAGTACCCAAAAAGTCTTTTCCAAGACCTGATTTTAATTATCTGCATAGGATTTATCACTAACTGGTGATTCTTTAATTTGTGTATTGTTTGCTTCCCCCTACTAGAATGTAAGCTCTACAAGAATATTTTGTTTGATTGCTTCGCTGCCGTATTCTATTCCCAGTGTCTACAACGTGCCTGAAACCTAGCAGACACTCAGTGTTTGTTAAATGAATAATCGAATACTAGTCCACCTACTAGGAGGGTTAAAGGCAGGGTTTCTAAAGTTGGAAGACCCAGAATGGAATCCTGGGCCACATACTCGTGTGATCTGCCGCAAGTTGTCCAACCTAAGGGTGTAAAATGGGAATTCCACCTCTGTGATAGGCAGAGCGAATGAAATGACAGTTATAAAGCACTCCCTTAGCTCCGTGGCTCAGGAATTAGAGCACTGGTCTAGTAAAGCATTCTTGCTCCCTCTCCCTCTCTCCCTTAAGCGCTCTCTTCTTTCCCCCTCCTGCTCAGCCCCTCACATGGCCACTTCTCTTCGGCTTTGCATGACACTCTAGAGTCTAGAATAAGCCTTTGAAATTTGCCGGGAATTAACGTCATCAGTCGGGAGGCCCACAGCTACGCACGCGCGGGGCACCTCCTCTGTCTCGCGCGCTAACTTTGCAGCCCCGCCAGCCAATCAGAGTTAGCGTCAGAGAACGAGTGCCGAGGACTCACCAATCGGAACTAGGAGGCGGGCCGTGGTGGAGGCAGTGGCGAGAGGGGGCGGGGACAAGGAGAGGGCACGCACAGTTCTCGCTGCCGGGGTCTCTGCCGGCCAATAGGAGAGGCCTAGGGGCTGAAGGCGGTGGGGCGTGGCATTGGCCGCTCCAGCAACGGGAGGCCGTCCCAGGGAGGGCCAATCGGAATAAGGAGGTGGGAGAAACCTAGCCAATTAGCGTGCAGGACGGGCAAGGAGGGTGGGGGGCGGCGGAGTCTCCTGCGGACACCGCCCGCTCCCGAGCTTCTGTCAGGGGAGCTGGGCGTGCGGAGGCGGCTGAGGAGGCGGGAAGGCGGCAGTGGTTGAAGGGGTGATTGCTGACTAGCGGGGAGGGAGTGGGCAGCGATGGTGATGGCGGCGAAGAAGGGCCCGGGCCCGGGCGGCGGGGTCAGCGGGGGCAAGGCGGAGGCGGAGGCGGCCTCGGAGGTGTGGTGCCGTCGGGTGCGGGAGCTGGGTGGCTGCAGCCAGGCCGGGAATCGCCACTGCTTCGAGTGCGCCCAGCGCGGGGTCACCTACGTGGATATCACCGTGGGCAGCTTCGTGTGCACCACCTGCTCCGGCCTCCTGTGAGTGACAGGGAGGGAGTGGCCGAGGTCGGCGTGGGGGGACCCTGGGGACCCGAGGACGGGGTGGGGAGGCCGGGGCTCCGGGGCGCGAGAGAAAGAGGCCGAGGTGAGGGGCGGCGGGGAGGTCAGGGAACGCGCCGGCTGTGGGGACGGGGTCGTCTGCTGCAGCGGTGTCGTGGGGAGGGGAAAGGGCAGGGGAGAGGAAGCAAGGCCGGAGTCGCGCTGCAGAGAGAAGGGTGGGGGTGCAGAAGGAAGCCCGGAGAGGGACCGAGAAAGTCCCCGAGGGAGGCGAGGCAAACTGTAAGTGGGGAGGGAGAAAGTGCGGAGGATGGAAGGGAACTCGGGGTGGGATGGGGTGTCGGGACTTAAAGGGCCAGAAAATGACATGCACCTTTAGAGGGAACTTCATGCAGGTGGAAAGCAAAAAGGAAAAAGGTGGAGAAAGCCGGCCTGGAGATGGACGAGCACCTTTCTTCCTTCGGGCTTGTGTCCCTGCTGGAGTGTGAGATGCGGAAGCCAGCTGAAACTTGGTTGAAATTCTTATGATTAGAGTACAGGATTTTAAAATAAAAAAAATTTTTTTAATAGGCGAATTAACCCAGATTGACAGCCTAGAGATAGTAGCTGGAAGGGAGCCATGGTCCAGAGTTCAGGTGTAGATACTAATCTTAGCAGGGCTTTGAAATGTTACCCAGAAGGTAAAACTCTTATGAAATCTAAGAGATGAGAGCCAATGGGTTACCCTGGTAGAGAGCTTAGCTTTTTCAAACGTTTGCACATCTAGGTGAGCCATCCTGAAGGTTAATCATTTACACCTTTAAGCTCCCTGTTGCCATGGCTGGATCCTGGTGGTAGCATCCAGGAAACTCTTTCTAGATTTTGGGGGGGCTTTGGTGCATCATCTGAGTGCTACACTTGGCATTGGTACTGTTCGGTCACGCCAGAGAGAATTTACAGCCACAGTTCTAGCCTAGATTTCTGGCTATATAGTAAGCCCCCCTCCACCCCCCTCGGCACTCCTCCTACCCCCAAATTAAGATATTATTTGGTGGCCGGGCGCGGTGGCTCAAGCCTGTAATCCCAGCACTTTGGGAGGCCGAGACGGGCGGATCACGAGGTCAGGAGATCGAGACTATCCTGGCTAACATGGTGAAACCCCGTCTCTACTAAAAAATACAAAAAAACTAGCCGGGCGTGGTGGCAGGCGCCTGTAGTCCCAGCTACTCTGGAGGCTGAGGCAGGAGAATGGCGTAAACCCGGGAGGTGGAGCTTGCAGTGAGCTTAGATCTGGCCACTGCACTCCAGCCTGGGCGACAGAGCGAGATTCCGTGTCAAAAAAAAGAAAAAAAGAAAGATATTATTTGGTTAGATGCATGATTAACATCTGATATCAGGCCTGGATCTCTGTTTTTTTTTAAATAAGTTTGTCAAGGGATTTATTTTGACAATTTTTTAGTCTTATTTTAAGACTGTTGTTTTTGTTTTGTTTTTTTTTTAAATGTTTTCCGGCCGGGCGCTGTGGCTCACTCCTGTAATCCCAGAACTTTGGGAGGCCAAGGCAGGCAGATCATGAGGTCAAGAGATCAAGACCATCCTGGCCAACATGGTGAAACCCCATCTCTACTAAAAATACAAAAATTAGCTGGACATGGTGGTGTGCACCTGTAGTCCCAGCTACTTGAGAGGCTGAGGCAGGA